CCAGGAAGCAGGGAGGTATCGCGTCGTTTCTGGCGGAGCTCGGAGACCCCCAGGTCACGCACTATCTGCTAAATCAATGTGTCAATGCGGTCCGCGCCGCCCCGGCAGCAGCGCCGAGGGGCGCCGCCGCCCGCTACGGCGAGGGCGCGGCGGACGCCGACGCCGCGGCGGCAGGCCAACGCTGAACAGAGCCGCATAGGAGGCAGGCAGCCTTCGCAACCTCCAGGGCCGGGCTGGGGCTGAGGCGCATCTCGATGGGCGCCGCGCGGGTGGCGTCGCGGGCGGCCACCCACGGCTTGTGCGAGCGCATCCGGCCTGAGCACAGATGGGGCGACGGCGCGCCGGGCCGTCCTCTCGGGGGCGCCATGGCCAGGTTGGTCGCCGCCCTGGGCCGCGACGCCCTCGCAGCGATGAGCCGGGCCGAGCTGGCCCAGGCTTGCCTCGAGGGCAAGCTGCGGGGCAGAGAGGTCGAGGCGCGGCGCGAGGACAGCCAGCCCGCCGACGGGGTTCGCTTGCGGGCGAGTTCGCTGACAACGTCGCGACCTTGCTCGGTGTCGACGCGCTGGGCGAGGGCAGCGCGCGCCCGCTTTGCGCGGCCCCGCTGGGCGCGAAGGGCGCGCGCTGCTTGTCGAGCGTGAGCGGCGGGGGCGCCGCTCTTGTGCAGAATGCGATCCGGGCCGTCTTCTACGACTATTTTGCTCGCGGCGGGCTGCGCCCGGGGCTGGAGGCAGCAGGGCTACTGGGCGATCCTGGGGCGCGGGGTGCACTGCAGGCAGCTGGCGAGCACCGCCCGGCAGATGTGCCTGTGATCCCCCGCATCAGTTTAGCGCGAGATCTGTTGGGCGGCATCCGCGCGGCGAGGGCCGAAAGCGTCTACTTCGACTTCGCCTTGATCGACGCCTCGGGGCCGTCGCGCTGGGCAGGCGCGGCGATGGTGCCAGGGCTTGCGGCGGAGTCGCGCGACGAGCGCAACAGAGATGAGCAACGATGTCGCGAGCGCGGTCTCCAGTTCCGGCCAGTCGCGCTCGAGGCCCAGGGTGGCGCGTCGAGGGGCGCGGACGCAGCAGTTCGCGCGCTGGCGGCGGCGGTGGCGAGCAGAGATTGCAGGGGGGCGGCCACAGTGCGGCGGAAGATGCTTCATCGCATTGCCGTCGCCGCGGCGACAGGTTGCGCTGCACGCGTGGCCCGCCAGCGGGCGAACGTTGTGCGTCGTGGACGTCAGCGGCCAGACTGGCGTGGGCCGCGGACCACGAGGACCCCTAGTTCTCTCTCCTTTCCTCCTCCTCCTCCTCCTCCTCCCCGTCCTCCCCCTGTCCTCGTTTCAAGGCGCGGGCGCGCGCGCCTTGCGGCGGGGCCGGGTGGCTCGCGCCCCGCGGCCGCGCCGTCGCCCAGTGAACTTTCGCCGCGCGTTGTGCGCAGCGGTCATTTCCCTCCTCGCCCCCCCTCCTCCCCTCCTTTCCTCCCACCTGCCCGTCCAGCCCCCTCCGTTGTGGTGACGTTAACCGGGCCGGCCACTGTTGCGCGCCGCCGCTTTCGTACTCGAGCCCGTTTTCTTTTGACGCGGGTGTAGCCCCCATGAGGGGGAGCCGATCTAAAGCTGAGTGCCCGTGCGTTTGTTCAATTTGCAGTTTGCTGCGGTGAGTCAGTGGGGATCCGGGGTGGCCGCGCAGTCTTGGGACTCAGGTCCGAGGACGTCTCGGGCGACTGGGACCTCCAGGGCCCCAAAACCGTGCAGCGGCGAGTCGTGTGGTGAGGTCTTGGGGATTTCGAGGTCACTTCCTTGACTGTGGCCCCACGGTCTTGGACCCCCAAGAAATCAAGAGCGGGCACAGGACGGAACAATGGCCAGCCATGGAGGCGGCCGACGGAGAGCACACCGTCGGCTCCGTGGGCCTGCGCCCCCCCTCCCCGCTCCCGCTCGCGGTCCGACGAGGCTGCAGCGGGGACCTCGCGTCCCCCGCGGCGCTGGCCGAATCCCAGGCACGGGCGGTGGACATGGAATGGATCCGCTAATTATGAGGAAAATCCTGGAGGTTTCGCGCAGCGCGCAGCAGTTGCTTGATTTGGTCCACACGCCAGCCCTGTAAGATCGGGGTCGACCTTCGCGCGGCGGTGCTCCGACGAAAGCCCGACGTAAGTCCAACGTGCACCAGACGCACTCCGACGTGCATCCGACGCGCATCCGACGTACATTGGGTTTCAAGCTGCCGTGCGAGGCCTCCTTCGACGGCGAAGCTCGAGCCCTACCCTCGCCCATCGACGATTCTGGCGACTCGAAGGGCGGCGGGGGTAGGGTCTGGAATTCCCGAACACGCGGTGAAATCTGAACCCTAACACCGCCTCCCATCGATTGAGGATAATCGATCGTTAGTGGAAATAGGGTTCGGATGGCGCCACCTATTCCTGCATTTCCCTCAGAAGATCCGTCCACCATCTCTGTATATTTCTCTTGGCCAGCCACGCGCAGAGGGGGGATGTGGGGGAGGGAGGGAGGCTTCTC